AAATCTAACAAAGCTTGCTACGAGGTATTTCAATCAATCTTCTTCTCTTTCTTTTGTTTCTCATCTTTAATAGACATTGTTATAATAAAAGCATTTAAAATTAAACATGTAAATAGTCATCAACAAAAGGGGATTAGATATTTATATTATTATTTTTATAATGCTAACTTCATCATAGGGTACCGATTAAGGGCGTTGTAGGGGTGCTTAATACCTTCCTTACACGTAACCGATCCCCGAACCCATTTTTGGTTGTTAAGACCATTATTGATTCTTAAAACCTTTTCTTTTTCCAATGTTTTGAGTAAAACATTGGTGGCGACTCCCACGAACTCTTTTCAAAACAATTAATTAGGGATTAGACTGGTTTCCGGGCATTTCCTAATTGATGAGATTTTCAATTGGATGTCTAAGCCATTAGTCGTAAGATCAAAAAATTTTGGGTTGCGACAATAGGGACCCAGTATCTCTGTTGTTGTCACCTGGCAAACTCTAAGGTTTGTCGCAGTATTTCAAGCTAGAGTAACCAGTTATCACCTTGAGTGTGATTTTCGACGGGGTTCGTAGGCTCCAAGGCCACCCTTGGGCCGGTCGTACGTCAACCACTACCTATGTTTAATACCCTCATTCCCCCGGGTGTAGGGGGAACTTTTGTGTGATATGGTTTGTGTACAAATTTTATTCAAACAAGTGCAAAATTTAAACAGGCAAACAGATATTAAAGCCAAGCAAATAAAACAAACAAAGTAAGAGGGAAAAATATTTAAATTATTATTCTTATCTTACTAACTTCATCATTTATATGGGCCTGACCCTCTTTAAACTTCCCCAGCGGAGTCGCCATCTGTCGCAACCCGAAAATTTCCAATCTTGTGACCTATGGTTTGGGCTTCCGTTTGAAAAATCTCATTAATTAAGGAATGCCCGAATACCAGACTAATCCTTGACTAATAGTTTTGAAAATGGTTTGTGGGAGTCGCCACCAATGTTTTACTCAAAATATTGAAAAAAGAAAAGGTTTTAAAAATCCAATAATGACCTCAATAACCAAAAATTGGGTTTGGGGGTCCATTACATGTAAGAAAGGTATTAAGCACATCTACAACGCCCTAAATCAGTACCCTATGATGAAGATAACATGATAAGAATTAATAGTTTAAATATTTAATCTCCTTTATGAATATTTATTTACATAAATTACACGGTTGATTCTAAAATGTCTACATGGTTGCTTTTATTATAACAATATTTGAAATAAGGGAATAGAGAAAAGATTAGAGAATCGACTGAAATACCTCTTAAACGAGCTTTATTGAACCTTCAAATGTAGAGATTTTTAGGTGCTTTGTGGCAACTAGAGCCGTCAAAGTGGGTCGGGACCCATGGGCCAACCCGACCCACCTTGAAAATAGGCCGAGCCAGGCAAAAAAAAATTGAAGTTTTATAGTAGATGGGTATATCTCAACCCGGCCCACTTTGACCCAGCCCACCCGGGCTGAACCCGTGGTGGGCCGGGTAGCCCACCAACCCACCATTTTTTTTTTGCAATAAAAATTTAAGTATGATTTCTAGTTAATTTTGTATGATGAGTTATGACTTATGACTATTAATGATGCTAATTTTATGACTATTATGTTAATTTATAATTAATTTAAAATTTTGAATTTTGGTGATATTTTTTTTTTTAATTTTTGGTGGGCTGGTGGGCTGACCCGTATAACCCACCAACCCGTGGTGGGCTAGGTCGGGCCAAAATTTTTTTTAGAAAATTAAAAGTGGGTCGAGTTGGGTTGGCTCGTTTTTAAAGTGGGTCAAGGTGGGTCGGCCCACATGGGCTGGGCTGGCCCGTTTTGACAGCTCTAGTGGCAACCTTTCACACTACAATTAGCCTCACAAAAATCTCAAGAAATACAAGAAAGAGGAGATAAAAAGAATTTTTGAGCTGTGTGGGAGTCTAGACGACTTTTTTCTAGGCCCGAGAATAGTGCCTGAGTATGCTATTTATAGACATTAGAAGTCGCCAAAATGACCCATTCCAAATCTGGAACGACCCGTTCTGGACCCCTTTGTTATGCGTTAATTTTGTATTTGGAACGACTCGTTCTTAAACCAGATTGGCCCATTCCAGAGTTGGGTTTAACACATAACTGCCTATGTTGGAACGACCCATTCCAAACTAGGGTTTTAGGCCTTTTTGGTAACTTGGAACGGCCCATTCCGGTTTAGGAACGCCCCGTTCCGAGTTGGGAACGACCCGTTTTGGACTACTAAAATTAGCTTGTTTAGGCTTCAAGCTTCCTTGTTGTCATATGGTGTTGCCTCCATACTTTGGAAGTTCTTCCTCATCATAGTAGAGGTCCATTTCATTGCTTTTGTTGGTCCAGACAAAATTGAGTGTCTACAGTTTCTTTAAACGTCAAGAAGCACAAATAAGAAAACTAAAGCATGACTTTATAACTCTTTCTATTTTGGCTTTAAATTCTAAAACTTGGATTGAGCTTCTGTTATCTCCTTGGCACATGTACCAATTTGTACAAGTTGAATTTAATTATGAGTATGGGTATCGCTTCCTAAGGATCATATATAATACTTAACACAAATCACTAATTATACTAAATTAAACTATCAAAAATGGAAATTTTGATTGTTTGTAGAAATAAGGAAAATGCACAAACAATGATAAATGTTATAAGAAATCCTTTTTGGTAATTTTACAAATAGTTGGAATGTAAAAATTGATTTTAAAACAATAATAAAATATGTTAGGATTTAACTTTACGAAACCATTTTCTCATGCTTGCAAACATGTTTTAATCTAGTTATAAGTTCATAAATTATTCTTCATCTCACAAATTTATTCAAAGCTTAATTCTTGACAAGTTTGAGTCTAAAATTCTTAACTAAGTTATCAATTTTTTGCATAACTTCACCAAAAACTTTAAGAACAAAATTCTATCAATAACTAATAACATTTACTTTATTTGTAGAGGTAAACACCATCAGTTGCTCTACTTCAATTCAAAGGTTCACAAGTATTTTCTAATCACTTTAAATCCATAAAATCAAGTTAAGAGAAATCAAACCATAACAAAAATTAAGCAAAGAAGAGAGAAATAATAACTAGGATTAATAACTTAGAATTTGAACAAAGGTGATCTTGGCTACACAAAGACATGGAACACCGGAAAAATGATGAAGAAATGAAGAAACTTGATCTTGAAGTTATGAGAGCTCTTCTAGTTGCCACACACACTCTAAGAAATTTTCCTCTCTATGTATCTTCTTTGAATCATGGATTTAGGTCATAAAATCTTTTGTCTCTTTTCATTAATGTCGGGTCAACATGGCACTAGACATGAAATTCCACACTAAACGTTTGATAGAGAATAATAAAAACTGATCTATAGAGCTATGGTGCTAAGTGTGGAATTCCACATTCCACACTTAGTGTGGAAAAATTAATTAGCTTGCTAAAACTCTTTGAAAGCTTGACACTAGGGATGAGATTCCACATCTAATATTAATATTTAACCAAATTTCTTCTTCTCTAATGGCATCCTTGCTAGCATTGATGGAGAAATGTTGATCAATGAGAATGAATCTTTGACTCCTTGGATCAAATTCTTTAAGAGTGACGCATGGATTAGGGAATGGTGACGAAAATGGAGGTTGTAGGGTAGGTGTTTGATGTAGGCTTGAGAAAAGACTCTAGGGTTTGGCTCACTCCATGAATGATGAAGGCCACTTCTAGGGTTTTCTCTCAAGATGAAGATAGGTAGGGTTTGGCCAAATATTAGCCAAGAGTGACTAAGGAAAATATAAAGTTTCAAAGGCTCTCTTTATTAATTTTCAAAGTATTTACAAGGAGACTAACCTAGGGTATTTATAGAAGGAAGGATGCATTTAGGGTTACATTTGAGAGTGCATGGTCAATTAATGCAATCCAAATGCACTTCAAATGAAAGTTAAATTAACCCTAGATGCTACTTAGTGGCCAAGGATGGAATCTTTGGGTTTGGTTAAGCTATATCTAGGTGCATGATAAGACCATGCAACCTAGGTTCCCTCCACTTGGGCCTAAGCCTTGCCAAGTCCAAAAATAAATTCAATGCCACGAAAAATCACGTCTAGGCCTAGTTTCCAACCTTAATAAAATACCCTAGCTATAAATTAAAATCTTATAATCTAAGGCACCCCATAATACAAGGGTAAAATGCGAAATGCAAGTAAAAATAAATCCTATGACTAAGACACCCTAAAATACAAGGGTAAAAATAGAAAATTAAAGACAAGGGTAAAATAGAATTAAACTAAATTCAATGCTAAGAAGGCTTAAGAGAATGATTAATAGCCATAAGAAGCATGTCTTGATGGAGACCTCCCTTCCATGGATGATTATGGCGTCTTGAAGAGGGTCACCTTTGCCCAAGGATCTAGGCTCACCAAGGAAAAGAGATGGAGACGTTTCTGGGGTGGAGGAAATTTGGGCGTGAAGATGGGTGAAGGGTTAGGAGTTTTGATGGATGCTCAAGGATGGTTGGCTCACTCCAAGATGAAAATGGAGGTCACTCTAGGTTTCCCACTCTCCAAGGGTGGAGATAGGAGAAGGCTAGCCGAAGTTAACCTAGTGACTAAGGATGGGATGTTGAGGCAAAAATGCTCACTTAATATCATATAATCCAAAGTGTGTACAAGGTGCTATGCTATGGGTATTTATAGGAGTGGGAGGCATCTAGGGTTGCATTTGGAGAGTGCATGGCCGAAAATGTAAGGCCAAATGCACACCAAATGAAACCCAAATTAACCCTAGATGCAACTTGGTGGCCAAGGATAGAATCTTTGGGTTTAGTTAGGCTACATCTAGGTGCATGATAAGACCATGCAACCTTTGCCCTCCACTTGGGCCTAAGCCTTTCTAAGTCCAAAAATAGGTCCAAAAACCACCAAAAATATGTTTAGCCTCCTAATTAAATACCTTAGCCCAAAAATAAAACCTATGATCTAAATCACCCCATAATACAAGGGTAAAATGGAAAATACAAAAGAAAATAAATCCTATGACTAAGATACCCTAAAATACAAGGGTAAAATTGAAAAATAAAATAAACCATATACTAATGAATCTTAGGAGAGTATTAATACTCTATGATCATGAGGAGGGTGTCCTTTGGTGGGTGAGTTCCCTCCTCCTCTTCCACTCTCCTAGCCATGGACCTAGTGATGGGGCCCACATGTATCCTCAAGGATGGTCCTCCATCATGTCTCTAGGGGTGTTAGCTCTATCCTCTTCCAATCTCCTAGCCATGGACCTAGTGATGGTCTCACATGAAGCTCTAAGGATGGTCCTCCATCATTCTCTTTTGATGCTTCACCAAGTTTTCTACTTGTTTCTTTTGATGTTTTTCATCCTTTTCCTTCTCCATAAAATAACATCAAAAAACTTATAAATTTCCTAAAAGCTTAATTTATAAATTAAAGTCTATTTTTTACAAATTAAGATAAATTTGAATCAAAAGAAAATAAGATAAGTACTTCAATTTATACTAAAAGATTAAAATAAATATGACACTTATCAACTTCTAAAGTCTAAACCCACTAACCTAACACGCTCTCAACACAAGCATATTTTACTATATTTATAAAACATCCCTTGTTTGTATAAACCCAATTAATAAATTAATTAAACTCATAATATAAATATCAATTAAAAACTTTATCTTATTAGTTTTTCAAAAAAAAAAATGAGGTTACAATTAGAATGTGTAAATTTATTTTTAATGGTATATATTTGAAGAGTTATACTACAATTAACTATATAATATCCCATGAATGAGGTATTTTAATTAAATTTTAAATTATTTTATATTATGCTTATTATATATTTTAACATTTATTTAAACTTTCCACGAAGATACCAGTGGGACTCGAACTGGGGCGCTAAAAAAATGCCCTGCTTAAGCTTCACTTATGTTTCTTCAGATAGCTTAAGCTTCACTTAAGTTTCTTCATATAGCTTTTCCAAAAGTTCTTTTTTTTTCCTGTAATTTCTTCTCAAATTATAAACTATTTACTTTTTTTTTTAAAAGTGTTTTTATGCTAATGTTTTAGCTTTTACTTATAAGTAGAAATTAAGCCGAGTCAAACGTCTCAAAACTTTAATGAGTTTAAGGAAGAGAATCGGACTGGCTTAAATAAAAACCCAAACTTTTATTTTCATCAAAATACATCAACTTTTCATTTTAAAACCCTCTTTTCAGCCCAGATTATTTCAAAATACTTTATTATTTAATTAAAGTTCAAAATAAATTATTTACTAATTTTAATATATATATATATAGAGAGACCACAGTTTTACACGACACAAGGAGGGTCATGGTCTACACTTGGGAAAAATGGAGACTACTCATCTAGAGACATTGTGACACACATAACTCTACATGCATGTGACTTTGAGATTTTTTGTGGATTGGATTACATCCATCAACTGTCGGAGTTCGAACATATAAGGACACGAGAGCAAGAAAGTGAAAAGAACATTCAAGGAATGACAGAGAACAACTTCTCTCTGTTGTGAGTGAGTAATAAAAAGGAAAAAAAATGAAGCCCAAATGCCACAATCAGAATTTTCTGTATGAATCTTACCAAGGCATTTTTCTTTGGCTCTGAGAAGGCTATGTTAGTACGCCAAACCACCCATACAGAAGGTTTATGGTAGGAAAGAAGTGGTAAAAGAATGTTAGTCGTAAGGATTTATTAATTGCAGAAACAGTTTACTGGGCAAATAGTTGCATTAAGAAGAGAATGAATAAATGGGGAAGAGAAAGTTTGCAACTATCCAGTAGACAATCATTTCTAATAAGGAGAGAGGGATGGAAATTAGAATATATAGGAAAAGGGTAGATTTAGTGGGTACCGAAGATTTAAATTCCTGGGTTATATTTATTCCAGCCTTTATCAAAATTATTTGCAAACTAAACAGATACTACTATTTTAATAAATCCTCCTTTACCTGAATATTCTTTACCATTCTTCCTCTTCCAGCTAGTTTTTTGGTGATTCAGATTCCTCTTCCATTCATGTCAGTTGATTCATCATACATGAGATAGACAATTGACTTTTTGACCACCAATCCATTTGTAAAAGTCACATAAAACTCCACATGGTCTCCAGATTCCAAATGTGACATTATGCCCTGCCAATCTACTTCATTAAAGAAAATTGCTGTGTCTCGCTTGTATATCTGGATGGTGCACTTTGTGTGATTAACCATTATGACACTAGCAAGACAATCGGTTGCTGTGTTTTCAGGGGCTGATAAATAAACAACACACAATGTCATTCCGTTCATGCTACAGTCATCTGGCACGGTGAAATACACCGAACGTTCATTACCCGTATGGGCCAACCAATAAGGATACTTGTTTCCTGGGACAAAATCATTGCAAGATTCACTGGTTGTCAATTCCTGTAGCATGAGAAAAAATAGCTTAGTAGTAGCAAAAATAGCTTATATTGAAAATAACAACATACTGCATAATTAAAGTATAGCTATGGTAACTAATTCAAACAAATTTGGTTTGTAGTTTTGTTGTGTATAAATCAACAGCAGATCATTATGATGCATTTCAATTCTTTTCGGATGATCATTGGAAAGACAACAGAATCGATTAGAAGGAAGAAAGTGGAAATCAATTCCCTAGTGCATAATATGACCATTATCACTTGACTAGTTGAGAATCAAAATAAGGTATTTTTAAATGAAGCTGGGTGGTTATAGAAAGCAAAGGTTCTAAAAGAAGGTGAGTATTGAAGTTTCCTTTAGATATTTCATTACGATAATTTCGTGTTCTCTTAATTAATTGCCAAAATAAAGAGTGAAGGTAAGAAGACAAATATAAAGAGAAGGAACCTCAGATATGCTCTGACTGAGAGTATTGAAGACTTCGTCTTGGCAACTTCCAATTCTAATAAAAAATGATCTCAAGGAATGCTCTGATATTTCTGATATATATGGTGCTATTTCTGATTTAATCAAATTTACACCACGTACTTCATCCAAAATTGTTTCAACTTGTTTAGATGTTTGTAACTCCGTATCACATTGCACCAAAACACTTCGAAGATTTAAAATGCTGCTAAGGATTGGTGTTAGAGCACCCAATTCATTTTTCTTCATATTCATGGAAACTAGAGATGATGATACGCCACAAAAAGGACTAATATAAGATAGGGGATTAATTGTTGGTGATATCCAAGACCAAATGATAGAAGGAAAAACATTATGTGGTGATCCTTTAAATCCACATAGGAATATATATCCAATGCTTTTTGAGCTCACTATTGAAAAGGGAACTTTTTCCACAGCAGTGTTTTCAGCAATTAGAGTTGTCAAGGATTCCATCCTCCCTATATCTTCTTCCAATTTGTCAATCTTCAAACAACCAGATAGGATGAGAGTTTTCACAGATTTCAACTGATAGGTCTCTCTTGGGAGATTGCTTAGACTTGAACAACCTTTCAAATTTATCAATTCAAGAAAGGAGAGATCTCCAAGGGATTGGTGTATCTTGCACAAACTGCGACAATGTTTGAGAATGAGCTTTTTAAGATTTGGTAGCTTTGAAAAGTCAGGGGTTTCTGTCAAGTACTTGGAATGACTAAGATTGAGGAACTTTAGACGCGACAAAACCTACAACGAGATAGTATTTTGAACAAAAAATTAGAGCCGAAAATAGAAAAGGAAATAGCGGTAAGTGGCAACATATGCGAATATAATAACCGTATGAATTTTAAAAGAAAATGGCACGCCATATATACCTTTGGTTCTTTCCACACTTGTCTAAGATTACTGTGCTTGAAATGAATCGCAATTACACCTTCCAGATTAAAGTTGTTAGGCATGTGTTCTAAAGGAAACCCTTGCCAGTAGATCCATCTCAGTTCCTTAGAAAGATACCCATAATCCCCACCCAGTTGTACGTAATCAAGTCGCAACAGTCTCAACTTGTTCATTTCTTTAAAAGCAACAGCTTCGAAGAAAACTGTATTGGTTAAAGGCAATTTCAGAGCCAATCCCTCAATAACTTCGGTGCCCTGGGATGGAAAGAGCAAAGAAAAATAACTTAAGAAATGTCTATTGTTTGCTCACTAGAAAGTGATACTTGAAAGCTCAGCCAAACCACATATGTAATGCACATGACAAGGAAAACACTTTCAAGTTTCAAAACTGTATATAAAGAATATACTTACAGTATTATTTGTCAATACATTGAGTACATCCTCATGAAACCACAATCGACTGTGCTTCCCAGGTTCCTTTCTTGAACATGAACTTTTACGAATTATCTCTCTACCCATGTCTCGAAGCAAAGGATGCACTCCAAGTTTATTGTTCTTTTCAACTTTTATGAGGCTATGCTGTGTGAGTTCTGTTATTCCAATATCAGCAAACAGTTTACGATCACAGCCATTTAGTATCTCGATGACATAGTCTCTGTCTTCACCAATAAAGACACAACATACATCAAGAAATATGTTTTTATTCATATCACACAAACCCTTATAGCTTATTTTTAATATCTTCTGAACTTTAGCATCGGGAATTATTTTTCGTTTTGACAACACACTTTTCCACTCTTTTTCTGTCCTCTCACTCAGATAAGAACCAAGAATTTCAAGAGCTAGTGGTAGACCACCACAATAAGCAACTGCATTTCTTGCAAGTTCATTGAAGTCCTGTCTTGGTTTTGCTTCTCCAAAAGCATGCCAACTAAAAAGCTCAAGGGACTCTTCTTCGTCCATTTTATGCATCTCATAAAGATAATCAACTTTAAATTGCTCAAGCAGGCGAAGATTTCTGGTTGTAATGATTATTACAGTTCCTTGACCGAACCATTTACAATTTCCACACAGATCTTGTAACTGCTCATACTTATCCACATCATCAAGTACAATGAGTGCCGTTTTTCCAGCAAGTCTGTTATCGATCACAGTTTTTCCCCTCCCTAAACTATGTAACATCACCTTTTCTTTGAGGATATCTGAAAGAAGTTGTTCTTGTAAATGAAGTTGCCCTCTCCTATCTGTTACACAAAACTCTCTAATGCCTTCCATGAAACTTTTATGCATGAATCTATGATGAATTCGATTGTAGATAACTTTGGCTGTAGTAGTTTTACCCGATCCTCCCATTCCCCATATCCCTAGCTTACAAACTTCGGGACATTGATTTTCAATAAATCTAATCACTTGTTGCACACGAGATTCTAGTCCAACAGGAAAATCGGTAATAGACAGGGCATCATATTCCAGTTTACTAAGAACATCTTCAACAATATCCTTCACTAGTTGAGCTTCATTCCTTCAAGTTCAACAATACACTAATAGTTATATTTTACATAACAGCAGAATCCTCACCTACTAGCTTAAAAGTATCAAGTAGATTTACCTGTAATTCCTCACATCCCAACCGCAGAATTCTGCAGCTTCGTTTAGTGCGTGGCTCCATCTCAAGAATGCATCTCCATCTTCGGAAACTGTTTTTTGGGCAGTTGCTTTCAACGCTTCTCCGAAATCACCGTTCTGATGACTTACATCGGATGGGTCAACATGGTAAAATACGGGCAGAACTATTTGACCATAATTTTTGTGGCATTCAATGATTTTTTCAAGCTCACGAAGACACCAACGGGATTGAGTATAAGTTTGGGAGAAAACAACTAGTGCTATCTGAGACCCTTCTATTGCTCGCATTAGCTCTCCCAGCGGTGTTCCCTTGGCAAGACTCTCCTCGTCCCAGAAAGTTTTGACTCCAGCATTTGTTGAGAGGCCATGATGGAGATGAGAAACGAACTTTCTACGGGTGTCTTCTCCCCTGAAATTGATGAACACATCGTATGTCCGTTGGGGTTTGGATTTTGAGAAGAGAGAACAAGAAGACTCCGACTCCATCCTAGTAACTCAGGTCAACTACTGGTAGAAGACTTTGAAAAAAAAACGCAAAATACCAACTTATTATAAGCAAGTGGACATTCCCTCCTAGTAAGTCATATGACTCGTTCAGTTTTATAAACAAGCTTTAATCCTATATGTACCGCCCACATCGGCACCAGGGCCCATCCCGGCGATGATGAGCTCGAACCACGCCAACTCAAAACCTTCAGTCCATTCCTGTTTTTTATTTTCTTTTGCATCCTTGCATTATTTGCTTTTGTCTACTTGCTACGGGTCACGCGGAATCATCAGGCCGAAACACCCACAAATTCCAAAAAGCTCAACAACCAAGTAAGGCCTTAAGAGCCAAAATCATGTTACAAGTCTAACCCAGTAGGGGCACTCCCTATAAGTGGTTCCGTATAGCCACCAAGTTGAAGCAGAACTTGCCTAGAAAGAATAAGTGAGCCTATAAGCATGAAGATGTCATCGAGCTCTACTCTGTCTTAGACTGACCTTTATGTTGTCATTCACTAAATCAAGGATGATGCAAGGGAATGTCAAGACTAGGAATGACCTACTCATCAAAGTCAGGAGTGGCTTCAAAATAATACTTATTGATAAAGATCTAACAACCATGATCATCATGGAGAAGGGATCTCTTCACCAGTACTGAGACAAATAAGGTTTAGAAAAAGACAAGCTTCAAACATATTGAAAAATTCAAAGTTAAGAAAGTAAAAACTCAAAAGCCCAACCAAGTCATCCAAGACAAACAACCATGTGGGCTACAAGATATTTGAAGATCTGAACAAGGGGAAAGGTTGCAAAGATCCCCAGTTAAGAAAGATTGACTACTAGGTAACCAAAACCCACATGAAGTTAGAGGAAAAACACACAGAAGGGGGGTTGAATATGTGTGTGTGAAGGTTTAAGGAAATCTTTTCCATAAAAAACTTTCCCATGTTTCATACTGACGTTTCCAAACTCAAGATACATCTCACGTTTACTTTTAATATAAAGTTTAAAAGAGTTTTGTGTCTGCATGCTTTATCATCTGCTCGAAAGTGTTTCTTGCAATAATAAGTTAAACAAGAGATGTTTTCCATTTGAAAACTGTTGTAGTGTTAAATATGCAGTGAGTAAGATTTTCAGTATGAAATACCAAATAAATAAATTTGCGTTTGAGAAGAGTAAAATAGTGCAAAGAGTTTTATACTGGTTTGCTTAGGCTGAGCTACGTCCAGTCTCCTTCAATTGAAGGGTTCTACTAGATTTTTAATTAAGTACAAGTATTATTACCACTTCTGGTTTACCGAGTATTGTCGACCACTTCAAGCCCGCCAACTTCACTCGTCAGCGCTAGTATTCTTTGTTCAGCCTCTTCAGGCTCTTAATGAGTATTCTCGACCACTCCTGGTCCCCGAGTATTATCAACCACTCCTGCTTTGCCAACTTCACTCATTGGCGCTAGTATTCTTTGTTCAGCCTCTTCAAGCTCTCAGTGAGTATTATCGACCACTCCTGGCCCGCTAACTTCACTCATTAGCGCTAGTATTCTTTGTTCAGCCTCTTCAAGCTCTTGGTGAGGATTCTTTGACAAGCCTCTCCAGGCTTATACAAGCATTCTTTCCCTAGCCTCTTTAAAAATGATAGATAATTTGTTGAGTGTGTAGTTTACTCTCACAGAGAGGATACAAAGATTTACTACACTCACTAAGGTTTATGTTCCTAAGTTACCCTTAGAACTCCTTAGTCTACAGAGATAAATACAATATTGTACATTTGACTATGTATGCTCTGTCTCTGGTTTTATTTCTTCTTGGGCTTGGAATCACTCTTCGTCGGTCATTCCAGGTTTGAAGTCACGACATATTTATAGTCTCTGTAAAATCTTCCAGTTGCAAGTGTTCGTTGAAGCAGAATATAGTCGTTCATGACTTGTTTGATTTCTCATTTAATGCACATGATTTTGCATTAAATGTTGCTTCCTCTTTATAGACATTGCGTGAAGTCTTCTTAGTTTTTGGTAGCTACAGTGTCTGACTTTAACAGTGACCTAGGAATTTCTTGTCTTTTTTCGGTCATCGTAGCTGCAGAGGCGTTGTCTTTATCTGAAAAAGATAATGTACTTTTTCTAACACACGCATGCTTTGAATTTTGGGCCTGCATTTCTTTTTCTTCTTCTTTTCCTTCTAGCACGCGATCATATTGAGAGCACTTTGTATGATTGTAGACGATGTCTAAATTGTCCCTTGAGACTTGATTCTTCAAAAACTTGCATGATAGTCTTCATTTGTGTCTGGTAGTCCATGTGCATCTTAAGACTTGATCTTCGTCTGAGCACTTGTCATTAATGCTTTTACTTCCCTTGGTCTAGTCAATATTGTAGATGTACAGACTTCATTTCCGTCTAGAATGCTTTTTAGTCTGTGTTGTCCTTCGTCTGATATGTAGTTGACTTTCGTTTGATTCTTGACCAACCTTCGTCTGAATCATTATGTTGCATTTTAGGTTGTGCTTGACACTCTTGCGTCTGGTATTTGATTCAACATTGTTTGGTGCTCATGTCGTATTTCATCTTGCATTTGACTCTACTTCATCTGATCCTTGTGTTGTGCTTTGCCTTGACTAGTTCTTAGTCTGATACTAGGAGAAGTTTTGTCTGTGGTCTATATGGACTTCTTCTCATTCTTGAATGCGCTTCGTCTAAAGCTTGATCATTTTCCTTCTTGTGCTCAACTTGGCTTCATTTGACTTTTCCGTCTGATGTTAGAAGCTTTCCTTCCTTTATCTTGGTTCTAGTATAAGAAGTGGCACATGCTCTACTCTTCAATTTGCCTGTACTTAAGTTTTTCTGAAACACTAACACACATGTTAGAAATAACAATATGTATTATATTAGTCTCATTCAAAACTTTGCTAGGAATTGCTTCGTCTGACTTAACACAACACAGGAAAATTTGACTAGGAGAGTAGTCTGTTCTCCAACATCCTTAAATGATCACAGACTAAGCCTAAAGAGGCTTCAATAAACAATACTGAATTTGAATCCCTAGCATACAGATCAAGCCTAGAGAGGCTTTAGTGAAAGAATACTCACATTAAAATTGTGTAATCCTCAGCAGATAACTGCATAAACAAGGGCAAAATAGTCAAAACTAGGGGCATCATTAGTAACCCCTCATCAAATTAGTAGGAATCATTTTCCTTTTCATTCATCAACACTCCTACTTAGTAGCAAACCAAAAATAGAGCTTGTTAGGGCATCTTCAACATCTTCTCCCAATTACCCAACAGACAAAAATAATTAAAAAAAACTCAACTATGATCACCCTACCAAGAGAATGATCCTTCACCCACCAGCACGAGGGCACTACCTACAAACTATCCATATCTTTATCAGGCATCCCCGCCTAAGAAAAGAGGCAATCAGATCACATAAATTACAATAGGCATCCTAGAGAGGCTAGCACAATAATACTCATCATCACAATAGGCAACCTAGAGAGGCAAATACAATAATACTCACAAGCAGGTGGCCTAGAGAGGCCAGCATAATAATACTCATCATCATAGTAGGCGGCCTAGAGAGGTCGAAACAATAATACTCATCGTCTCAAGTAGGCGACTTGGAGAGGCCGACATAATAATACTCATCATCACAAGCTGGTAGCCTGGAGAAGCCGACACAACAATAGTCATCATCATAAGAAGGCGACCTAAAAAGGATTGCATAATAATACTCATCATCACAAGTAGGCAGCCTGGAGAGGTCGACATTTTGGAACCCAAAAATTCTAATCTAGCCCACAGACGATTTGGACTTTCGTTTGAAAATCTCACTAGTTGGGGAATGCCCGGAAACCATACTAATCCCTAACCAATGGTTTTAAAAAAAATTTGAATGAGTCACCACCGATGTTATACTTAAAACATCGGAGAAAGAAAATATTTTTAAAAATACTAAAATGGCCTTCACAGCCAGAATTGGGTTCAGCAATCCGTTACGTGTAGGAAAGGTATTAGACACCCTTCAATGCCCTAAGATGTTTCGTCCAGGTTTTCTTTTTGCTTCTTCGTGTAGGTGCTTCCATGTTGCTTCTTTCAGTTATAAGGGTTTACTTGAATCCTTCCTCCTTGGGGTAGCTAAGTGTTGGGTTACATGCTCCATTGAGGGACAAGGATGGCAAAATGTACCTTCTAAATTTCTAGCTTCGTGTGGATGCCCTATGGTACTTCTTGTCGCTTGTTTGGTGATGGTAAGGTGGAAATTCAGTTGGGTCTTGTTGCGGAGTGAGTATGTTTTGAGCTTAGCCTCTCTAAGCTAGACTGATATTTGTTAGAAAAGAATGGCACAATCTAAGAGGGGGGTGAATTGGATTCTATGACCTTTTAAAATTTTTCAGAGTATTTTGGATCTTTATTTCACTTAAACTTTTCTAAGACTGAATTTTCAAATGAAGCTTCTTTAAAGACTTGTTATGAAAGTATGAATGCAATATGCTTTCTTGATTACAAAACAATGAGGTTGAAATGCAATGCTCTAATTCAGATTAAACCATCAATATTCACACACACATGTTAATCAAGAATTATCTTCTTTAATGTTCAACCAAGAAATTACTCAAAGTAAAAGATAAGGTAGAAGAAGATTGCACAAGTCTTTTATACTGGTTCAGCCACTCCACATGTGACCTACATCTAGTCCTCAATCAGCACATGATCAAGATTTTGTTCCACTATCTCAAGGAAGAAGGTTTACAAGCACACACATGCATATACTTCAACACAAAAGATAACCACTTTCTTGACCCCAAGAAAGCACCCCTTGTAGAAACCCACTACAAGAAACCTTACCACTTGAGAAAACCTTCTCAAGATTTTACAAGTATTCACACAGAATAAAGGAACGAATTCACCTGGAATTCAGAAGCAATTCTTAATCTTCCCCTTTCAAGAATATGATGATGATGATGATCCTCTAACAAAGTTTTTCACAAACGTTTTTACTCTTGGATTTCACAAAGAAAACTCTCCAAGATGGTCACAAAGACTCCACAAAAACGCTTTTCTCAATTTGATTATCAGTTCTAACTCATGTCTGAAGTTTCTAAAAGTTCAAACTATTTATAAAAGTCTCAGACCCAGATAATCGATTATTTTAAAGAATAATCGATTATTTTGTTCTTCAGGTTTTCTGGAAACCAACCAAGAACAATATAATCGATTATTTTGCTGGATAATCGATTATTCCAGAGAGTTATTTCTGGGATAATCGATTATTTTGGCAAATAATCGATTATTGCAGCAAGGCATCCCATTTTGCCTGTTGCTGGAATAATTGATTATATTTAACGATAATCGATTATTTTGAGTTAGTTTTCAAAACTTCGT